GTTCAGTGGGGATCATGGAAGCTATAGTCTGAAGGGCACAAGTGGGAAAGGTAGATACAGAAGCAATGTTCTACAGGGAAACAGTAAAGAAGCAGTCACGAAAATAAAAACAGCGCAAGCTGTGCTGCTTTTCTGAAAGCAAACAGAAAATTTTGTAATTCTATTTGCCAAGTGATTGTTTGCTCCTGACTTTTTCTGAAAGGGAATGGATGACCTCTGCTCTATTTCCCCAAAACTACTGACCTATTATCTCTTAACGAAGAGCTTACTTAGGCTTCCTTTAGGGTAGGTAGGTAAAAGCACTGCAAAGACAGCTGAATCATTATGTTCACTTGCAGAGAGTCAGCCTGCTGAGATTTCTCTCTGAAGCTTCTTGAAATATGCGTAGGATAGAAGAGACATTTCTGAACAAAAACCACCCAATCACCTTAAGTTCTCTTGTGCCAAATGTCCTGACCCTTCTTGTTTGTTGCCATTTGTCTGTGAAGACAGACTATGATCTGATCATGAAATGTAATCACTCTAGTAATAGGTGGCTAGGCCACCTAACCTGGAAAATGTATAATTCAGGCATTGCTACATAGCATACTCTTCTACCTTTCTTCCTCCTTCCAGGTTCAGTTCCTGGAATCTTCAGGTAGGACTGGGAAAGAAGCCTTTCCAAAATCCTGAAAGACCAAGTCAGTGCAGACAATAGTGAGCTTGTTGGGTGGAAATGCAGCTTTCCACGGTCCAGGGAATGTGCTGGTCTTATTTTTATAGATCAGTGAAGGCTGCTTATAATAATTTTATTTTCTGTAATTCTACTGCCTTTAATCCATCTTCCCTCCTGACTTCCCAGGTCATATTTTCAGCACCTTAACCCTGGCTTGACCAGCCATTTTGTAAGGCGCTGAAGTGCATTGCACTCTGATATCTCATTCTGCAGATGAGCCACTGTCCTACTACACTAGAATAACAAAACCAATAGTTTCATTTCAGCCCCATCTCACCTTATGGTTGGAAAAGGAAGTGAAAATAATTTGCTTCAAGGAATTATGTACCAACATAGAACAAAGATTGTTTTAAAAAAGAATCCGTGAAAGAGAGTGAATGCAGATTCAAAACTGATTATTTTAGAGAGAAAGACTCAGTATGTGATAAGGCATTTATCCATTTACATCCTGGGTAAAACTTAGCTCTGCAGTCTCTCCCCCCACACCCATGCTTTAAAGATCTGAATGTATATAAATCAATGCTCTGATTATGACTTCTCTTTATCTGCCTAAAGGTTGCTTTTATCTCATCTCTTAATTGTTTGCATTATGCGGCTATCGTATACAGAAATAGAGCCCTGGTGGACAAGGGACCAAGAGCCTCTCTACTCCAAAAGTGTATTTCCACAGTAGCCAGCCTGAGGCCTACTGGGTGCCCACAAACAGGACATGGCATGAGTGAATAGAACCCCCTCCCCCATCTTCTCCTGTTACTGGTATTAAGAGGCATATTGCAGGGGTCCTCAAACTTTTCCACCGGGGGCCAGTTGAAAGGTGCCAGTGCTGGGTGCAGGCCGGCAAGGGGGCAGGGGTGCCACATGCGGGTGCATGTGCTGAGGCGGGGGCGGGGTGCCCAGTGAGGCGAGGTGAGGCGAGGCGTGGGCGGATGGGCACAGCGAGGAGAGGGGAGGTGCGGGCAGGGGTGGGCATGTGCCGCGAAGCGAGCGCATGGGGCAGCGGCTTGCTTGCTTGGAGATCATTTTCTCCAAGTGAGCAAACCACTGCCTCCCCACACACAGGGCAAGGTGGGTGGCGGCGGTGGGTGTGCGCGTGCGTGGGCGCGGCGGGTCCAAATGGGCATGGCAGGCCAGATCCAGCCCCCGGGGCGTAGTTTGAGGATCCATGGCATATTGTCTCTGATCCTGGGGTCATGGAGCCCTTGATAGCCTTATCCTCCATGATTATTTTTAAAAAGTAATCTGCCTTTAAAGCCGTCTATGGTTTTTTAATAAATTTTTTCTTAACATATACAAATACATAAAAAAGTAAAATAGAAAAAGCTAGTATAAACAGAACACACTAGCGTGAACAAGATAAACAAAATAAACAAGATTGCCAAGGGAATTTTAATGTTAATTGCACATCTTTGATAGTGAATTCCATAGTTTAAGTATGTTGTTTGTGAAGAAGCCCTGAACCTCCCAGCACGCAGCGTTATTGAATGATCCTGACTTTTAGTATTATGTGGCAAGGAGAAAAACATAAAACATAATTTTATGCATCTCATGCTTCCCTAGCACATGTATCCTTTTTTTTCCTACAAGAAAAAACTCTGCATGTTGCTGGGAGGATGTTTGGAAGGATCCCAAACATCGCTCATGCTCGCTCGCTCGCGCACGCGCTCGCTCTCTCTCTCTCTCTCTCTCACACACACACACACACACCCCTACCTTCAAGCAATCTTTTCTGTGAATGTCATGGTAATCTGGCTCCAGTAGACTATGGTACCAGCTGTTAACATGCTGAGAATCTCCAAACTCAGTGTTTCTGCATGATATTGAGCTGGTTTAGATTCTGTGGGGAGCAAATGTATGGTCACTGGAGAGCATTCCCAGGACTGAAGGATTCTTGGAACTGAAGGCTTCTTCAGTGTCCCCTCTCCAAAGTGCCTGATGATCCTCCTGACTTGCTGGCAACAGCCCAGTCTGAACCAGAAGGGTGAAAACCAAAGGACTGAATCCCCAATGGCTTGGATTTGATGTTCTCTGGGCATAAAATACATATTTTTGTAATTTCTAGACTAGAGGCAGAGAAACCTTTTCAGCCTGAAGGTTAAATTCACTTTTGGGGAAGCTCTTGGATGCTGCCTTCCAGTAGTAGGTGGGACTGAAGGCAAAAGCTTTTATTGGCACTGACTCAGCCTTAGGAGAGGGATATCAAGTTTGGGAATGGAGGAGAGACTGCACAAAACTCAGGAAGTCCCCAAATGTTGATTTGGGGGTGGGGTATGGAAAGCAGGGAATGGAAACCACTGGAGGACCAAACTTGTCTCCCAGAAGGTTTGGATTATGCTTCCAGGCCTGAGGTCCACCCACCCTTTTCCAGACAATACCTAATGCATTCCTGGTAGCAAGTAATAACCATGAATGATGACTGGTTTGTTTTCCAGGGCCCTTGTAAATGCTGCATCTACTTTTCTCTTTTATTAATTTTATTTTGGTAGCTAGAATAATTTACTCAGAGACTGGGTACACCTTTTATTTTCGTGTCTCACTGTTTCACTGGAAGTGCATAAATCCTAAAGTGCATACTTGATAAAAATTTGGGGTGTGTGAGTGTGTGTACATAAGCATGCACATATCTCAGGGTGAATGTTTAAAAGAATTTTAAGACACTTAAGACATAAATTAAGATTTAAAAGTCTTCTGGCGTAAGACCAGAGTTAAGCTGAATGAATTTAGGAAATGGGAAACTTAGGCTGATGCCTTAACAGGTGTGTCCCATGATCAGTAATGATGTGAATTGCCAAGAATTGTGATTACCTACAACTTCCTCTTCATGCATCTAAACCTTTACTTGCTCATCCAGGGTCTAATCCAAATAGCTAGTTTGGTTTCTGGGATCAGCAAAGATGTCCCACAGTGCCTTGGTTTTGATATTGCTTTATGAAGCATATGAACTTTACTGTGAGAGGGATAATGCAGGCCCCTGATCACACTGAGAAATCTACTCAAATTCAAGCAGATACAAGTAGAATGCTTCAGGCTGGGCACAGCTTGGCATGAGGCCGATGTGTGTGGACTTGTCCTTGTATAAACTTTTAGCTCTTACAGCCAAATGTTAGAATGAGACTCTAGACTCCTGTAAATAGTCCCTTATTGATTTATTGAACACATTCCACTTAACTAGTTCCATCAGACTTTCTAAGCAGATTACATCAAAAATTTATAACAATGAAAACAGAATAACCAATATAGCAATAAAATAACAACAATAAAACAATAATAAACAGAATGCATAGCAATAAAAATGTAACAGTATATACAATAACATATGCAATAACAATACATGGATGAAAGTTAAGGGGTGATGAATTTAAAAAGTATAGGTTAAAACAATAAGACTGTATACAAAGAACCCTTTTAAAATTATACAGAATAGATTCTGTTGTTAAAATGTTTGGAAAATAAAGCTGTTTTTGCCTGGCACCAAAAAGATTGTAATGAAGGTGTCAGGTAACTTGCTCTTGGGAGGCTAAGAGAAGGCTCTTCTGCTGTTTGCTGTCCTCTTTACTCCTTGGAGAATGGCTCTTTCAGAAGGGCCTCCAAATCAGATCTTAGGGATGCTCTGTATTAGCAGCAGTCCAGCTTAAAAATGAAACTGAGCTTGCATGACATAACTTTGCTAGCAGCTGCCGCCTCATGCTTTAATGAGGCAGGAAAACCTCCATAACTTTTGAACCCCTACAGGGAACTTCACTAACCAATGAAGGATTGCCTTCCTCACCAGGCTTAATGAATTACATCAGTTGTTTTCAACAAAACTTTAGTTTAAATTTTGGCATATTTTTGACCCCATCAATTCAATCATGGATACCAAGTTTCAGATTAATAGCTTGGAAAGTTTCATTTCTATAAATAATAGACTGTTGGGTCCTATCATGGTGGATCTTTTTTCTTTTGCTTATCTTGATAAATGCAGTACTGCTGTTGTCCTTTCATTTAAAGCTTTATATATCTATACTGAATTGGAGAAGCAGTTGAAAGATTTCTGACCATCCACGTTGTGCCTAGCATAGGTTACCGTGGTCAGGTGTGACATATGAGTCAGAAATCTTTACTTGGCAGAGACGTCTGTGCTTTTACATGCTACTCCCCACTAATACGATTTCTAGACTGACACATAACATTCACATAGCCATAGCCATTCCAGTCACTAAAACAATCTAGCCCTGATATGTTATTTCATGACAATATTTTAATGTATCCCATTGGCCTGACATGTTTCCTTTTCTTTTTCCAAAGAATGTTGTCAGAAGGCTATCTCTGCAGAATTCCCTTTCATGATTCCTTGAATGACGTGCTTTGCAACAAGCAGCGAGAAGAATCGGTGCATGAGCTGAAGTCTTTAAATGGTGTTAAATATGAATCAACTGAGGAAACATGTGACAGAAATCTGTTTTGGAGGGGTAAATCTGTTGGCAAGTTGATCTACTCTGTGTGTTCCAAAGAAAACAGAAGCAGTAGAAGACAAAAGGACATGGTGGCACAAGCTACGCAAAAAGCAGTGTTTGAAAGGCAAACCTCAGCTGCTGTGGAAACCTGCATGGGATCTGCCATAAGCAGAGACACATACCTGGTGCCATCTTCTTGCAAGAGCATTTGCAAGAATTATAATGACCTGCATATTGCTGGTGACCAGGTGTTGCCTATGAGCTCTGTGAAATGCAGCTTTACTTATGACAGTGGGATTGGCCCATTTCTGGAATCATCAGAGATCCCACCACCAGTGGAATCCATATCAGTGTCACCAACTGAAGTCCCATGCAAGCCAACTCAGGGGTATTCATCTTGCTGGCAAGTGCCCAGTATCATGCAACACCAACAGCCTCTCTCTAATTCAATACTGAATAACTACTTGGAGGAGAAGGTGGCAGAGTTGTACAAGTATTATATCATGGATGGCATGGACCCCACAAACATCTTGGCATCAGAATTCATCATGACCAATGTAGATCAAATCAGCATGAAGCTCTCACAAGAGAGGAACATGAAGGCAACCAAGACCAGAGATATGGTCATTAACTGCCTACTGCGACTAGCCAGTGAGAAGGTCTCCACTGAAATCAGCACTCCTAGTCTCCACATTTCCCAGCTGAGCACTGTGACAAAATAATACTTGTACGCAACTGGACATCTCAACTGTGCACTCACTGCTTGGAAGCCTCCAGCCTTGAAGGTTTCTAAGTGTGTTATACTTGCCTGGCTGAGGCCTGCAGAATGGGAGGAACATTAGAAGTAATTTTTGCCCCCTTAACTTCTCTTCTTGCTTCTACTCTAGATAGGTTTTCAGCACCCTCTAATGGGAGGGAAGAAGCTTGAATAAATCATATCCAGGCTTCTCCAGTCGCCTCCCCTCTCTACCTCACAGAATCTTCCCTTGTCTTCCTCTCTGAAGTTTCCAGAAAGGCAGCTAGTGTCATCTGTGGTGAGCAGGGGGCTGGATCTCTGACTCTCTCTCCCAAAGTTGGAGCATTCTATCCATTGGGAGATGGTCAGAGTACCAAATAGGTGAACTCCTGTAAAACTGATGTGTTTAGAAACATATGGGATACTTCCATATTTTTTTAAAGTAAACAATTCTGTTTTTCCAGCAATTGAATTTTTCTTTCCTCCCTCTACATTTTTGGCTTCCTTCCAATACAATGTGCTTTTGCCTATCAACATAGTTTTAGTTTTTCCCTTCTTATTTTGCCTGTCAAGCCAAAATTGGGACTGTGTGTAGGGTGTGGTGGGCATCGTTAATGAACATTTTCATTCCCCCTTTCTGTGATTTATTTCTTTTGTAATGGTATCCACAAAAAGGGGGCAGTTTTTGTGGAGGGATACCCCTCACAGAGGGGGCAGGCATAAGAGCAAGACAGAACAGTTGAACACCATGCTGCCCTACTGATAAACAACCTACAAAACCTATCAACCATGAAGTTTCCCCCAGCACTGCACTAATGTGTGAGCAAATGAAACCAGTCAACTGCCCATGGACAATCTTGTTTCTAGCACCACCGTCAATGGCTATCTATGGGGTGAAAAAAGAGTAGAAGATGCGCAGGGGTGGGGTGGGGTGGGGGGACAGGGAGTGCAGCAATCATTTTGAGCAATGAAAATTGAATTTTAACCTTCTTTTCTGATCTTCCTTTCTTTCTTCAATATTTGAGCCCTAAAACACCCCAAATGGACATACGATTTACAAGTGTGGCCTGCAATAAAATGTTACAGTGTGGAGTGCTCTTGTTTCCAGGATAATGCATTTCATTCTCTTTTGCTCTGCCCTCCCCTCCCCTCCCCTCCCCTGCCCTGCCCTGCCCTCCCTCTTGGTTCTTGATCCTGCACATTCACTTCAATTGTATTCTTTTTAGGACTCAACCCCTAAAGATTAAAATAAAAATAAAATTGTATACCTGTGCAAATCTTAGGGCTCTCCAGAACTCCCTACAACCTCTGTGCTAATACCTCTTGTCAAAGCATCATTGATAAGTGCCAGTTTGGCTACTAAAGGAACAGCACTCAGAGAACAGAGATAACAATATGATTTATTTGATTGGATTATAAGTGTCAAACTGGGCTGGGTAACAAGCTTCTGAGGTCTTTGTCAGTTGAAGTAAGAGATAAATGTCATTAATTACTATTTTGCAGCATTCTTTTATTAAGCTATTAACAAATAGACTATTCATATTAGCCTTGCAGATCAGTGAATTAAATGAATTATGGATGAATTAATTAATCTAAATAATTCTAATCAGTGATTTAAATGGCATGTGGACCAGACTTGCAATCATGGAAAGTCACAGAATGGGGAAGTAATAGTATAACCAAATAGACTGAAGTAAGAACTGCTCCCCCACCCCTTATTTTAGAATGCTTTCAATTTCCTGTATTTTTCCATCCTGCAGTTAAAGGTCTGTGTTATAATATTCAGTCTATATTTGTAGATGCTCTTTCTTTCAGAGGCCTTTCCTTCCATTTACAATAGTAGCTTTTTTCTAAAGAGCTGTGTCTTGCCATGATTTTTTCATAAATGTAAACTGATTCTAGACTCTGACTTGTAGGAATGGTACAATAGTATGCATGTTATGTATGCCAAATAGGCATTACATCATCAGCTTTGTATTGTAAAAGGCAAACTCCTGGTAACATGTTGAAAGATGGAGGTTGCTAGGTCCCTGTTTGGTAAAATAAGATTTTTAAATTTAGAGTGTGACAGAAAACCAGTCTGTTTCAAGTAATTCAGCAAAGATAATTTTGGTTTGTGGCACCTTCCTGAAAGTGCTTATTATTATAATTACTACTAATTACTACTACTACTATTAGTATTCTAAGTGCTGCTGTATTTTATATAGGTACCTTGGCTCATGAACTTAATTCCTTCCAGGACTCTGGTCATGACCCAAATTGGTTGTGAGCCAAGTCAAATTTCCCTATAAGGTTCAATGTAAATAAGGTTAATCTGTTTTGTAACTATTTTTTTAATCACAAAAATTTGAAGCGGGTGCTCTGGGGTGGGGGGAGGGAAGACCGGCATACTCGCATGCGGGCTTGGGGGGGAGAATGGGCGTTATCACGGGTGCGCTGGGGGGGTTCTCCCATCTCTCCCCCCACCACCATGCCTGTGATTGTCACCCGATGCTGAGTTTGTGACCTGAGGCAAAAATTTTCAGAAATTTCTGTTCACGACCTGATTTGGTCATGAACTGAGGCATTCATGAGCTGAGATACCACTGGATGTATATGTGTGTGTGCGCGCGTGTGTGTGTATCTATCCCATCTCTTCTCTAAGGAGCTGCAATGTGTACATGCTTTCCCTTTTTCTTTTAGCATGTGTTATTGGGAGGTACTGATTGGCCTAACGTGGCCCAGTGAACCTCCTGGCTAAGTAAGATTTTGAACCTTAGTTTGACTTAGTTTCTTCAGTCCAATTCTCAGCCTCTGCCCACACTGGCTCAGTGTTTAATTGCTTAGATATAGGTTGAAAAACAAATTGAAGAAATGATTGTCCTTCCCTATCCCACCTAGACCACAACTGTTTTAAGGAATGGCTCAATTTTGCATGTGTTCAAAATATTCCAGAAGTATGTTTTAGGATGACTTGTTCATAGATGGGTGTGGCATACTTAAAGGCTTAAAAAGAATTCTGAATGTACTCCAGAAAGCTAAGAGTTCTTGATTCCCACAGAAACAAAAATATCTTAAGTACTGTTCTTTTCCTAGTGTCAACATTCTTTGCTTAGGCATGTGAAGAACAGCTGATGTCTCATTCTCAAACACAAGCTCATGGTCATTCCTTTGAAACAGCAATGTAATCTTATATATATCCTATCCTAAGAGGAAGAAAAAAAAACCTCCTATAAAAGCCTGTTTAATCTTTAATCACCTTCATCTGGGGAAATTCTGGATGAAACACAGGTACACAAATTACTTCTAGAGGAGTAGTGATTCCTCTGATCATGAATGCATGTATTCCAGAGAACTAGGGAAAATAAATAAATGTGTGATAAAAGTAATTAAATGTGTCATAAAAATGTGAAAATATTCACTCACTTGAATGGAAACAATTAGTATTATGTACCTCTGTCTGTCCCAGTTGAAGGGGAATATACTGTTTACATAAAGGAACAACATTCCTTCCTAATTATTTTATATATTTCCTCTATATTTGTGTAAGAGATAATGAATTTGAGGCAGCCTTGTTAAATATAAGAATTGTTTAAATTATTGGAATTTAAAAGATCCTGTAGGTGTTAAAGAATTGCAGGAATATAAGACCATTTTAGCTTCTGTTCTTTTAATATTCCACTTGACATGGACTGTGAATTTACTTTTTTTTCGTGACCTTGTGCCTGTATTCTGATTGTAAAGGTAAGATCAACTGCATACAAGAAAAGTAATTGATCTCTGTTTCATCTTGATGGATTTAGATAACCTCTGAATCTTGCCTTTGGCTGTGATCAGCATTTCATATTAGGGACTACAAGCAAGGGCTCCTACTAATTAAAGTTATTAGGAAACCGGGATGGGTGTAGATGAGGATGATTTTTTTATTTCAATACCACCCAATAACTGAAGTTCTTTGGAAGGCTTAAAACAATACATAAAATCTGATAGAAAATACAATGAACAATAACAAATAATACAATTTACAATACAAGAATTACAAACCAAATTTAAGACAAACTTTAAAAGCTACAATTGCTTATACAGATTAAATAATAACCTTGTTTAAGCAGCTGTGATACATAGCATTTTGGTACAGTCTTAACTAGTACCAAAAAGGTATTAAAATTGGTGCCAGGTGGACTTCAGCAGGGAGCTTGTTCTACTGAACAGTGGGTCCACCATTGAAAATGATGTTTTCCTTGTTGCCACCAACTGAACTTCCCACTACTTGACTGTAGTATCTTGGTAAGTTGTGGTTGGGAGAGGTATTCCATCTGGCACTGTGCTCCTGAGCCATGCAGTGTTTTATAGGTGAAACCCAGCATCTTTTATTGGCTTGGAAGTGTACAGGCAGCTAATGCTAGTGGTCCAGAATAGGTATTAAATGTTCAGACCATCTGGTTCCTATTACTTATCTGGAAGCTGTATTCTGAGGCTTCTGAACAGTCTTCAAGGGCAGCCCCATGTGGAGTTCATTGCAGTAAATTAGTTTAGAGATTACCATTGGTTACTGTCCAATAGGCGTGTAGCTGGGCCACCAGCTGAAGCTGGTAGAAGCCACCCTGTCCCACCGAAGACAACTGGGCCTCAGGTGACAAAGATGTCTCAAAAAGCATCACCAAGCTATGAACCTGCTCCTTCAGGGGGAGTGCAAGCACTATCCAGAACAGGTTGAACTCCCTCCTCCTGTCAGAGGAACTGTCCAAAATAGCATCTCAGCCTTGTCTGGCATGAGTTTCAGTTTGTGAGCCCTCATCCAGTCCATTGTCTCAGCCAGGCACCAATTCAGCACAGTCATAGCCTCACTTACTGAAGAAGAAAAGGAGGAATGGAGCTGCATGTCATCAGCATACTAATGACACCACATTCCAAAACTCCAGATGACCCAATTCGGTGGATTTGTGCATGGGAACAAGCCTGACATCTGAGGAAATCTTGTATTGCAGAGTCCAGGGACTGAGCAATATCCCCAGGCACCTATTCTACATTCTGGCATTGGCTGTCTGAGCAGGAGCAGAACTACTGCAATGCAGTGCTCCATGTTCCCAATCCAGGCAGCTGCCTCAGAAGGAAACCACAGCAGATAATGCTGAAAGATCCAGGAGTA